ATATGGTAAAGAGGTAAAATTTTAGGTGATTTTAGCTAAAAGGAGTATAGAAACTGAAGTATGTTTATACTGCCTGCTTATGATGCAGCAGGGAGAAACAAAACCAATCTTCAGCTAAATGTTTATACTTCTACTATAAGAAGTGCATAAATATCTATGTTAGGTGCATGGATACTCTGAGAAATACTCTTAGTCCACTAATCTCAGTAATCTCAGAATCAGTAAATTCACATATACATTATGCATACATACAGTCTAAATTAAAGCCCTAATTAGCATAAGTGGTTATGTTTTCATTAGCTATAAATTCTCAGAAAGAAGTGTTAAGCTTTGAGTAGCATGCAAAAGTTTAAAACAGTATGAAAGAAAAGGCTCGTAGCTGCTGCAAAGGAATGTTACCTATGTTCAAAACACCTTTTCAGACAAATATTTCTATTCATTTTTGTGATGGAAAGGTTTTCTGCTTCTGTCCATAATTCTCGTAACTTCCTTCAATAAGAGCAGTTAAGGGAAGCCCCCTGAAGGGAAGAGGAGATTGTGCCTTCTCTGGAGGAGTTTCCAACCATGGAGGACAGGGAGCCACTGCCCAGAGCTGTGAGCCCGCAGCCCAAAGCTTGTAGCTGAGGCGGAAAATCTACAAGGAGCTGGCAGCCTGGCTCAGGCAAAACTCTCCTAGAGTCTGCTGCAACGCAGGCATCAGCTTAGGAGCAACCCTGTACAGACCCAAGAGACATAATGGGCAGTGGCAAAGCTACGCACATACAAATATCATATTTATAACATTTTGTCACGATTATGTATTGTACATTCCTATAAAAATCATTTAGGTGGTATTGTTCCTGAATTATTTTAAAGTTTTGATATCTTATTGCGTGAAGATATAAGGATATCATTTGCAGCACTTTGACCTTTTACCTAATTACCATATTTGAAACACTTTCAAAATGCTAACTGATGTACAATGACAGCACACTAAAAACAGTATTCCAAATAAGCTCCTTCCTGTCACACAAAAGAAGTTAAAACATATTACATTTTCCAACTATACACTACAGCACTCCACCATTGAGTTGCTAATGTTATTTTGTCACTACGTATTTTTTCAGCTACTTTACCTCCATTTTCTTCTGATAAGACTTTCTAGACATGTGTTTACATTAAAGGAAAAGAGAAATCAAAAAGTTAATTACCAAAAACCTCTCTTGTATGAATGATCAAATAAAAAGAAGCCACGTTCCTCTTTTTTTTTTTTTTTTTTTTTTTCAAATTCAGTTCAGGTGTCCAAAAGGAAAACTTTTCCTGCATTCCAGGAATAGTTTTAGTAGTGGGGTAATTACAGAATCACAGAATAGTTGGAGTTGTCAGGCACCTCTGATGATCACCCAGTTCAAGTTCTCTGCTTTGTAAATTTGGATGAGTAGAACTTGGAGATATGATAATCGAATGGAAAAAAAAATAAAAGAGAGAGGGAGAGAGGCTATAGACAAAAATTCTTAGCTTTATTGTACATTATTCCTAGAGGGGTATACTGCAAAGAGATTTAGCATGACAAACTGACTTGTTGAGCATGTTGACAGTGCGCATATGGTGATTGTAATGAAGTTCTCCACCTTGAAGATGAATCTAGAGGGCAAGTATGAGGATAACTTCTGCTATATGGTATGCAAGAGTCCCCATCCTAAAACGACAAGGACAAGCAATGGTAATTGCAATAGAGTCAAAGCAAAACTATATTTTATGAATTCCTGAAACACATGAATTTCAATAACTACTCAAGACAAAATTAATCTATAATTACCTCTTCATCAGAATCTCCCAGCTTCCCTAGATCTAGGCATGGCACCCTGCAGGACATTAAAATGATTTTATTAGCAATACATTCTCTTATATCTCTATTACAGCAAAAGCCAACCATTTACTAATTATTAGCTCCTTCACAAAAAAATCTCTACTATAAATAGTGTCACTATGATTGGAGAGGGCCTACTTGCCAAAACTCTTATTACTCCCTTTAGTGATTTGCAGAACTAGCCACAGAGCTTTCTTCCATGCCCACTTGCAGAGCACCCCGACAGTTGCAATGGGCTTGTGAACTTTGTTTGTACTTTTTGTCTACTGTAATCTCCCAAAGGAGGACAGTTGAAAAGGGTTCAGTCCAGCTCCCTTTCAGTGAGAGATGGCTAGTATCCCAACAGGCAAGCTACACTATTAGCACTACAGCAGGAAAAAAAAAAAAAAAGTGTAGAAAATGTAACCAAGTTTTATTGCAACATAAAACAACTTGGAAAACCTACCTTAAAATATGGAAATTTCAATTTCAAGCATGATAAAACTTCTTCCAAACATCCAGATATACTCTAGAGTAGTATTAAAATGTGCATTTTACCTATTTTACTAGCAATATTTCCAAACAATCCTATTATAACAAGATTGCTTTTTGGAATGAGAGAATGTCTTAATCTCCAGTCTTTTTCATTAGAGAATGACTGACAGCATACACAGGTTGTTTTTCTCAGACATAAAAAACCCTAGATCATGCTCCTGTATACATGAAAAATACTCTAGAAAGCTAATCAGGCTGTAAAAAAAAAAAAAAAGAAAAAGAAAAAAAAAGGCTTTAAATTTTACAAACTGCACAAAATTACACACATACATACACACACACTTGTACAAGCCCTTCACAACAGTTTTTCTATAACTTTACTACCTGCAAAGACAAGTAGCAATTAAAATATAATAGTCTGCAAAAGAGAAAATAACTTTTTATTAAAAATGCTCAAGAAGCCTAAGCATAATTAACACTTCAAGTATAACCCTCCCTGAGTACTACTCTGCAGTTAAGCTCTACCAAAACCAAGTGAAGTTAGTTCTATTATACATGCTTCAGAAATTCTACTTTAAATATAAAATCATAGAAAACAAACCAATGATGATCAATTTCACCAGAGCATTGATATACATAAAAAATATATTTGCATTAATATTGATAGGATTTATATTTAGAATAATGCATAATTAAACAGACTGATTAAAAAAAAATAGGAGCAGACTTACTCCGGTGGACGAGGACCACGAGTAGCCCGTGTATCTGGTCTCCATCCCTGAAAGGATGATACATTATTACATACGTAAAAGGATCAAGTCTAAAACAGTTTTCCTTTCAGGCTCCTCTAGAATATTGAGCGTGGATATCTCAAAATATGTGAGGCATATTTGACCTTGATACTATCAAGCACAAAACTATCGATACTATTGAGCACAAAACAAAGAAATTTCTCAGCGAAAATTGTTTTCTATAGATTATAAATGAGATTAAAACACTCAATATTCCTCGGGAGAGAAAGTTTTTTAGTCATTAAGATCTGGAATAGTGTCCATGCCAGTTATTAATAAGATATTAAAAAAAAAATACTTCATGCTCTTGGGACTTTGATTGTACAATCACAGTTGGCAAGATCTTAGGTCATATGCTCCTTGTCATTGAGGGAGTCTTTGAAGCCACCACTCATCCAACCTGTAAAACCACAGTCAGCTGCCCCCGCCACACACTTCCCCAGGGAGTCATAGTCACTGTTGTTCTGCACTATCTCAGCCTTCACAGAGTAGCACATGATGATGACTACACAGCTGCTGTGCGCTTACAGACAACATCTATCCCACCATCACATTTTTGAGAGCAGCTAACAGAAAATCCCTAAGGAGGACTGTGCACCTGGGGCAAGCATATAGTAACAATTCTCCCAATTAGCCTCCCAGTGTGAAAAAAACCTGCCGTTCAGTGATGTTCTGAGCTGAGGCTGGCATCTTGGTCACGAACAGTCGTCAGCTCAGCTCAAAGACCTCAGCACACAACCTGAATTAAGCAGACATCCTGCTTCCAGCTGTGGCCCCAGTGTCTTTCATGATTTGAGAACAGTAGCATTCTCATGGGGAAAAAAGAAAAAAATGAAGTTTGCAGTTGAGCAACACTACCCTCTAGTGCCTTTAAAAAAAGCTTTTGTTTGTTTTTCACTTCAGGATGGTTGTGCGTATAAAACACCACCACCCCGTGGTCAAATATGTAAAAAGCTGTATCAAGATGTAATACAATTTAGTTTTACTCTTCAGAACATGCTTACAGATAAATACACAGGACATGAAGTCACACACATTTTTGCAGTGCTTTAAATAACAATTATATTTTTTCTGTATCATTTCAACTGCCTTAAAATAAAGACATCAATTATAGATTTTGAAGTCTCATAAATATATAAGTATTATATATTTATAATAACTGACATATATATTTATATAATAACTTATAAATAATTTATTTTCCATATGGCATCTAACCATGAGGAAAACAATCACATCCATAAAATCACCCTAAAGACAGTCCAAATCTACTAGTAGCATAAGATAGATTAAAATTAAAAATATAGTTAATTATATTATTGACTATTAACCATTAATAAACTATTAACTATTAATTTAATTAAAACTATGATTCAACAAGCCCCCAAGAAGTACCAGGAAGTTTACATTTGGAAACAGATAGGTATGAGGAAGAGAAGGAAAAAAAGTCAAGAAATTAGCAAAAAAAAAAAGAGGTACATTTATTTTACAAGCTACAGTAAATTTATACAAATCTTCCATTCTTCCTAAAAAAAATGGACACTATTAAAAAAAAAAACTCGACATTCCAAATCTAATGAAGAAAAACAAAACAAAAAAAACCCAGCAATTTGGCATTTGAACTCCAGGAATTCTAATCATGGTCATCCACCAACTATATGGAAATTAAACAGGTATTTGGGGGGCTGAGGAGAGATTACAGACTAACTTTTAATTCATCATCATAAAGTACATATTATCTCTGAAAAAAAGAATCATCATCTGATATTAAAAATACTGGTATTTACACTGGTTATAAAAGCATTAATTCTTATAATCTATTTTTATTAGTCAAGCATGTAATTTACTGGTTTTCAAAAGTTAGCCTGAAAGTTTCTGCTACAGTTATCTAATGAGGATCGCATACCTACCTTATGTGCTCCTGAGAATTCCCTTCATAACAAATGCTGAATACTGAGATTTATTTTACACATCATTCTGTAATTAGGTCTCCTGAAAATATATGTTTTGGGGGTTTCTTTAAAGTTTCCTTCTCTCCAGTATATATACTAAGCTTGAGCTAAACAGCTCCTAAAATGTAATTAAGAAATTTGTAAGAGTCTCAAAGCAGGAAAATGCTTCCCATTAACATACTTGACTACATCTCTTCCCCCTCGAGGAGGGCTGAGTCTGCCTTCGAGGGGATGCAGCAACTCCTTTAACCTCCAAATCCATGCAAACTTGAGGATGACCTGTGGAGTAAGCTGAAAAAATAGAAACGACTATTAGAAAATCATATATTTCCTATGTAAACACTTTTGTAAATAAACATTACTGCATTAGAAAACAAAACAAAATATGTCTATCATTGATAACTTGGGTATTTTCTGCTGTACACTAGGAAAACATCGCTAGCTTCCCTTTTTCAAAGCCTCTTAATTTTAATCTTTCCTTACTAATGCTATACCACAGGTCTACTCAAATTTCCCCCTTAGCTTCAAATTTCACCCCCTCATTCCCAGAGCTTTGTCCATGTTTAGGTGCCCTCATGTCAGCATTACCAGCCTGTCACCTCCTGCCAGTGTAATCCTTTTTCATCCGGGATTTACAACTATCCCCTTGACCTATGCTGCACTATTTTCTGCAAGGATCCGATCCGCCACTTCCCAGGAAACCACCAGGAGCACCAAACCCTGTCTTTATCCCGCTCCCTCCTCCTTCCCGCTTGCCAGCTGTGAACGGCAACCCTGCCGCTTAGCCCCGAGAAGTGACACGTCCCCGTTTTATGTCCCCACACACCAAGGCTGGCCCCCATTCCTACTTACGGTACGGGTTTCAGCTCCCAGGTTTTACCAAGCAGGAAGCAGAGCGGTATGATCCCTCTGAGAGACGTGAGACACGCTTGTGAAACACGACTAGAAAAGATTAAAACAACAAAAAAAACAACAACAACAAAAAACAAGCAGGCTTCCAGGCACAAGCCCTTCTTCAAGGCGCTTAAAGGGAAAACGCCTCCATCTTCACATCACCTCGAACCCCTTTACCGAGTTGCCTAGCGGAAGGCGGGAGAGGGGAATACGACACTGTTGCATTCCTGGCGTTAACACGCCAGCTAATCCAGCCACTTGATCCCGGAAGGACGCTGCGCGGGGGAAGGAGGCAGCGTGGGGGCAAGAGGCGCTGCCCGGGCGCCGGAGCGGGGACCAGGGGCGCTTCCCGGGGGAGCAGCGGGGCAGGAACCCGCGCGGACCGGCAGGGAGCGGCCGCCGAGCGCCGCTAACCGCCATTAGCCGCCAACCGCTGCCATGGCGACGGCGGCGCGGCCTTTGGGCGAGGGCCGAGAGCGCCCCCCCGCGCCCGCTCCCTGCTCGCAGCGTTGGTTATAGCGCACACCTATATAACACATATAGATACGGATAGACCTGTTTATTTAAATACCTTACCCCTGTTCGATGACCCACCCTGAAAGCATGCTAAAAATACTGCGTTGGGTAGCACCCAGCAAAGACGTCTAGTAGTACCAGGCCCAGGCAGACAACACTGGGATTTTCCTGTCTTGGGAAAAAAAATCATTCAAATCCAGAGAAAGCCAGGGGTGGTCATCTATCAGCTTTCTACTGTCAAACTTACCTTCAAACTTAACTTCTGCCCTCAAAGTGTCTCACTGGCATAAGCATGTGCACCCACTGAACAGATAATAAAGGAATGAAACAAAGGAAAAAAAGTGTTTTTCTGAGCACTGATCTAAAACCTTTGAAGAAACACCGGTCAAGGTATTACAACCTAGTTTAAAGCAAGACTCCAGTTCTTGAGTGCTATATAGTAGTATGTCTGTTACTAACATCAGTATTAAGAAAAAGAGTACAATTAACCCAAAGGCAGGATTCTGTAATTTTATTATACATATGAAACACAGATAATACTTCTAATGGGCATTAGTCAGTTATTAGGCAGCTAAGGAGTTTTACAAGTGACAGCTGGGTAAGAAATAAGAGAGAGCCAACCTATGGTATAAGGTTGAATGTAGCATACAAAACTACGTGTCAACTCTCAGGAAACAGCAGAAGTGAACTTACAGGACTTGTTTTGAAACAATGCTGTCTTAGCAAACAGATGTAATTATTTTGAAGTAGCATCTGTGGTTAAATTTCTCTCATCTGTCTATAAAATCATCTCTGAGATTAAACCTCATACTGGTTCTCATATCTCACTTGAAGTTTTCCATGAGGAGCTCAACTCACCAGTACAAATACTCTAATGAACTCAAGAAACTCACAATTAAAGGATGCAATAAGATTATTAGCTACAAAACATCTTTGAAACATCTATTTTAATTACAAGGGAATCCAATATTTTACTGAAGCTTCAGATATAATTACAATCCATTATATACAGAGAGTACAGAAATATCTTCTATAGAAAAAAATAAATAGAAAAAGTATGTAAACATTCCAAGTGAAATTCTACTGCCATTGAAGCCAGTTACAAAACTGCCAGAGATATAAGCACAGACAATATTTCACTCTCTTTTTAAAGCATATAGCAGCGCATGTAACTTGGTTCAAAACAGTTTAAAGTGCATACAATATTGTGAAAATAACATATGCCTTTTAATGTTTTACCTATTTCATTCACATCTAATACGTCTCCTCAGGCTTATCTCTTCTGGTTCAAAACCATCTCCGTTTATCATTTCTTGTTCTTCTACCACATCTGGTTCAAACATTTGATTTACATCACATTCCTCACATAATTGATCCTCTTCTACTTTGTAATCATTATCCCCAATATCCTCAAGCAAATCTTCATTATTCTTATCTTCTTGGTCATCTATTTCTTTCTCTAGAGAATGCTCGGCAAATGACTGAATGAGGTCTTCAAGTTTCTCATTACAAATTTTGCTGGCATCTTAAAATTTACCAAAATTAAAAAAAAAAAAAGAAGTGTAACAGATTTAGTGTAACAGTCAATAGTTTCAGAGGCAATTTAAAAGTACTCATTTGTTTTTTCTCGTTTAAAAAAGACTACACAAAGAAAAAAATTTCCAGGGAACCAGTCAACATTTTAGGTTCTTCCTGGACTAATACACACCTTTTGAAAGCCCCCAGACGAAACTACTATACATTCTGTTGTTAAATACAACAACGTAAGGATTACCCAATGTTACTGTCCAGGAACTCTCAGTTTAAAGTTAGTTTTAATTTAGTCTGTTTAAACATAGCAGAACATGACTATGTAGTCTATTCTACTTCTAGTATGTATAAATGCTAATGTATTTTAACATTTATTCTCAAAGAACTATGATGCATCACAAACTTGTAACTAGATACATGGCAGGCAAGAAGAATAGTACACCTCCAGATTAAAATTAATTCCCAATACTTTATCACCAAAGGTGCAGGAACTGAGAGGTATTATAGCAAGATCTGTTTAATCTTTTACAAAATACTACAATTTTCAAAATTCAAGTACCTTTCATCTTGTTTTCCGATTTATCCAATCCACTTTCTTTCATCAGTCGTCTAATTGATTGGAGTTGTGTCATTATTTCATCTTTCTGCTCACAAGCTAAAGCATTAACACTAGAAAAGCAGATAGATGTCAACAGCTGAAAGACTGCCTCAGAAGTGAATGTCTGATAACATTTCACTGTAAATATGTAAGATTGGAATATTTCTTTCAGCTGATAAATAGCACAGTCAAGTTAATGACAAGATTAGGTCACAGCTGTCTTTGATACTGCACACTTGGAAAGCAGGAAACCCAAAACATACATTTACCAGTTAATGCAGTCACTGCATTTCGACTGGAACCTGACTGACAGGCGAGCAGAAGTGGAGTAGTGACTACTGAAGATAGAAAAAAAAAAAAACAACAACAACAACAACAAAATCCTAAAAAATGTATTTTCAGGACAACATTGTCTAATGTAGATCATAACAGTTTAGAGACTCTTTTCATTTACTTCAGGCTTTGTCTACTCTCTCTCCTCTCCATCACTACTAGAAATCTGTAAAGCTGCCAAATTGGTTAGTAAATTAACTATTTAAAAGTTTTAACACATGCTAAATTCTGGCGTACACTGAAAGAACAATTATCAAATTCTGTACGTTTTAAGCAAAGATTCACAGAAGATGTCAGCCTACGCATCACGTGCAGCCTGTGTATTTCTCAAATATTGTTTAGGTCTTAGCTCCTTGAGGATCTCCTACACACCTGCATTCATACTTAAATATTACATTTCTTATGTCCTTATTTTGCACTATAACGAACGTTAAGCTTCCTTGAAAATTACACCATCGCTTACTAAGTTCCTTTCAAAACAAACAAAAAAAATAAGCAGCTATATCTTGATAGTTATTTCTGTCTTCTTCTAATTGTCAATTAATCAAAAGAAAAAAAACGAAGTAGGCTAGCAGAAATTTAATTTCCATAAAGGCTTGTGAATGCTACAAAGCTTGAGGAAGGGTGTTGGTGTTTTTTTTGTTTGTTTTTAGTATTACTCTAAGTCCACATTAGCTTTCAACAGAGCACACAACCTGGTTAAGCCATGGTAACTCCATCATAGATCTGGGCTTTTTGTATTTATGTTTGGTGAACAAAAGGCAGCAGGTCTCTGTGAGGATGACAAATGCCAGAGTTGGTATTAACTACAAAAGGTTAAAGAACCACTGAGCAATTAAAAAGGTTCCTAAACTGATTCCTATCCATACATAAGGAATTTTCACAGAATGGCTGAGGTTGGAAGGAACCTCATCACTCCAGCCCCTCTGCTCCAGCCCGGACACCTAGAGCACAGGGTGGTATCCAGGTGGGTTCGAAGATCTCCAGAGAAGGAGACTCCATAACCTCTCTGGGCAGCCTGTTCCAGGGCTCTGGCAGCCTCACAGGAAAGAAGTTCTTCCTCACATGGAGATGGAACTTCCTGTGTTTCAACTTGCACCCATTACCCCTTGTTCTGTCACTGGCCACCAGCAAGGAGAGTTGCTCTCTGCTGGACCCTTTCTAGAAGCTCCACATCCCTCTTGTACTGGGGAGCCCAGAACTGCACCCAACACTCCAGGTGCAGCCTCACCAGAGCTGAGCAGAGGGGCAGGATCCCCTCCCTCCACCTGCTGGCAACGCTCCTCCTGATGCAGACCAGGATCCCATTGGCCTTCTTGGCCATGAGGGCACATTGCTGACTCGTGCTGACTCTCAACCAGGACTCCCAAATCCCTCTCTGCAGAGCTCCTTTCCAGCAGGTCTACCTCTACTCTGTCCTGGTGCCTGCAGTTATTCCTCCCCATTTACAGGACCCTGCACTTGTCCTTGTTGAACCTCATGAGGCTCCTCTCTGCCCAACTCTCCATCCTGTCTAGGCACAGGCATAGTACAGCCCTCTGGAGTGTCAGCCACTCCACCCAGTTTTGTATCACTACCTTTTAAATCTTTTAGAGAATTTCAATTGACAAAAACAATGCTAACAGAACTACTCACCAGTTTGACAGTGGATCCAACTGAGTCAATAAAGAGTTTAACATTTTTTCTGTATGTGCTAGATGATGCTCCAATTCTAAAAGCTGATGCTCTAAAAAAAAACAAATTCTGTGTAAGAAATTCACTACCAAAAAGACTTTAAATCATATTTTTAACTGGGTATATGCAAAAATAGGAAAACAATAGTTTTTTCTCTCTAAATTCCAGAAAATGAAAGGGAAATAGTGGGCTAAGAACAACATTTTTACATGTGATCAAAAGTCCGTTTCATCCAAAAAAACTGTCTCCACTATTGCCCAAATATAGGGTACCTTGGCAAAAACTGAGGGAGCATGCAGGACCTTCCTCCTCTCCTAGTCTCCAAAACTATGCAGTTCCAGGACTTCCCAAGCCAGAGGTAGTATCTTTATACTTACTACACTGCCATTAATTTGACCAGCCAGACTTGCAGCTATTACAACAGTACTGGAAAAGGCAAAGGCACTAGAGCTGAGTATGCTTCCCCCTAAATTACAAATCTGTTTTGAGGAACAAAACCTAAACATAGTGAGTAGGCAGTCTAAGTCCAGTGCTGCTGAAACTGGTATGCACATAGTATACAGAGACACGAGTAGATGATTCTTTTATCAATATCAAACTTATATTTTATATTTATCAATATAAAAATATGTCCAGATAAGGAAGGAGGTGGAGGCTGGGAGGTGGGACAACAGTGAGTAGGACAACAGTGGAATTTGGATATGCCATTTTTCTCCAAGTAAAGTCTTAATTCTCAGCATATGAAGAATAGACAGAATCAGACATTCAAAAGCTGTATGAAAAGGTAACACTTGATTCTTCTGTGTCTTCTATAAATGTCTTATGTTTTTGACACGTCTATCATTTGGCCCAGAAATACAACAGCATACACAATTCTTTATCCATACTGTTCCACCACTACTACAGTCCAATTCATTATCCTATTATTATATCCTATTTCCTATATCCTATTCAGCAGATTGTTATATCCTATTTAAACACCCTATTCTACTGGAGAACAGTCTTAACATATTACTACAGAATATTGTTTTGAAGAATAGCATCATCTGGGGTTTTAACCAAGTCCTTATCTACTGAAGTTTATAGAATAATATATTTTTTAAATATTTTTGTATGTTAGTAGTGACATTTAAATAAGATTGTTCTTGTTCGACTAGACTGCATCAATGAAAATATGCAGTTTTGCTTTAGTAAGAAATCTGCACTTTTCATGAATGTAAGCATTTCAGATGGGTATCTTACCTGTTTCCTTTGCCTTGTCTTCTGTATTTTTTTCCTTCTTGGACAGACTTTCTTCCTGTGATTTCATCTTTAATAAATACAATTATATTACAAGAGTGCATAATATATTTTCATACATGAAAATAATACTTAGAAACTTTACAGAAAGCAAATAATGACCACAATCACTTGTGATATGATCTTTGTATCTACCTTGTTTTCTTCCCTATTTTAAAGTAACCTTCATAATATAAACGACAACAGCATGATTGTTCTCCTTTTCTATGACTTAAATTCCTATTGCTTACCTTAAGAAATTTGTATGCTGCAAACACTCCCACACCAAGAGCATACAATGGCATCAAAGTAAAGGCTAAGTCTCTTCCATTTCCTCTTCTTCTTTCACTCTTTATCTCTTTTTCCATTGCATTTCTCATCTGCTGAATACTCTGGTAAGTTTTACCTTCAGAATTCCCTGGATTCAGGTGAGCTTGATGAATTGGTTGAGGACTACCTTAAAGATTAAGATGTTTGAGAAAAAGAAGACAAGGTGAGAAAGAAAATTAAAGCTACGATTAGACTCGCAAGTTTCTTTTAAAGGCCCTCTTTGTTCATCACTCTTCTACATGGCGTGATCAGCCTCAAACTCAAATCAAAGTTATGACACACTACTCTTCCTTAAGTAGAATTCAAAGTTAAATCTAAGTAACAAAGACTCTCAAACCAAGCTTTTGTGTGTTTTTTTCAAGATACAAGTTTTATATTTCTTCAGTAACAGCAACATTAGCAAATTCCGGGGAAAGTACAGAAAGGTTAGACTAAACAAAGAAACACTCTAAACTTGAAAATAAAATATACTCAGAGAAATTTACCAATAATGTTACAAATAGCTACAGATTAATATTTTTCCCCACAACAAAGAAAAGAGTTAAGTAAAAACTGAATCTTTCAGCCCAAAGGAAAAAAAAAGTGTTGCTGAAATATTTGTTACTATTTTGGTTATTTTTAAAATAAAATTAGGACTGTGAGGGTACTCCCACAGGCTTAAAAATACTGTACCTCTGCAATTCAAGTATATAGCTATGAAGTACTGAAGAGACACCACCCACAAGCCTTAAAATAGTTCTTAAAAATTATACTTTTGCATGTGATTTGACTGCCCAACAACTGGTTTCATGGACTTTATTATTTTTTATAGTTAAATCTGTGGTCCATAGGACATGCATAAAAGAAACTACTAAAAGCTGAAGATAGCAGAAAGCTGCAGAAACAGGCTGCAGATCATTAGGAGGCTGGGGTGGCTTCCTGAAAGTTTTAAGACTTATCTCTCAACAGGTTACCTGGATTTATGACTTTCAAGGCTCTT